CAAATCGGGGCCCATCTATGACATATCACTGCCTTTCAGGAGGGATTTAGTTGTGTAAAGGCAAAAAATAACTGGTTCTGGTTAAATGTTTAGTGCACCTAGAGAAAACTGTATTTTCCAAGTGACCGTGGACTTTGGATACTGAAAGTATGTCTCCTTTACGAAATGTAAGGGAAGAATTGAAACGAAGGTGTTTTGTTCCAATCACAGTGTTACATAGTGATGTTCCTATTTTTTTGTTTACAAACATCAAAAACAGTGTATTTCAGGCAGCTCTAGTACAAATGTGATAATATTTGAGATGTTATTGTGCTGATGTGGTAGGAGCTGATGAAATCAAACTAGCTTATCATAGCATTGCATGTAATACCTAAATTGTGTGAAACGCTTCTGCTATGTGCATGTATAAATTAATATAGAGCATAATAAAAAGGCAAAGATGTGTGTTTGCTTATTTTTCTAGAGAAATATACTTTCATCTTTCATTCATTCATCTTGTCTCTGGTCATTCCATGCTTTCTCCATGTCAGCCTTAAACTACCAACAGCCCACCTTGTCTGTCATATGGGAGGGAGAAAGATCTAAAAGCATAGGTGAAATGATTGACATGTATCACACGATCCTTATCTTTATTGGTATAACCACTTTTCAATCTAACCTAGTGACACAGCCCTCATACTCTTGATAATATGAAACCATCCATAACTGTCAGTCTGCTATTAGATACATTTGGGGATTACAGCAAAGAAACCCAGGACAGGGAAGTACAAAATCATTTTGTAGTGTGTTAGTTTTCATTATTCTAGAGCCAGGCTTGATCTGTCTAGCATCACCTGAGGTCATTAGAATTGTTATAATTACAAGTTTCTAATATAATTTGGAAGACTAAGACTTAATAAAAGGTAACCAATTAAATATCACTAGGGTGCATAAAGGCCACTATTAGAAAGATTTTTCAGATCCAGAAAGCATGAAATGGAAAACCTGAGGATTAAATGAGAACTCCTAAACTAATAAAGGGGAACAAGAGTGATTTGTAGATATAACACCCTAAATTGCTGCCTCCTGAGACCTGAGAATTTTTTGAGAAGGGATACACAGATATGCATCTTCCCCTGTATGCTCCAGAGAGCAGAAAAAACAGACTGTTACACCCTTGAGATTTTGAAGAACAAAAAATAATTTCCCACATCATCAATGTAATTCTTCAAGAGGGTGACTTATGCAGAGGTAACTGCCCATCTCTTTAGATTTTCTAATATAAAATTGCTCAAAATGGGCCTTTGTGTACAACTGGATACTATAATCCTGAGGAAGGTGAGGCATTAGAAAAGATATGATAAAATGTTTATCACCATGAAGCTACACCTCATTCATTACTCATTGGTACAGATGTTTCATGTATGTCCCATTGTACCATAAGTCTAACATTTATTAATAGTGATGACTGCTTATTTTCTGTGTCATGGGTCAAATCAAAACCTTCTGGGTGAAAACTTAACCACTGATATCATGAGGGTGGGAAAACAAAATGGCGTGTGTTGTTGGAGATGGTGGTGGCTAAATGTGAGGTCTCCTTCCAAGTGGCATCAAAGAGTTCCAAGCACCAGAAATGTTCTCAGAACAACATCTACACCATGTTGTATCTAGGACTCATTCCCTAGAAAACAACATGGAAAACTTCAGTCCTTCCGTAAGTATACTATGGCTCACTATTTATCATGTGACTTAACACCTTAGGGTTTAAAATGAGGTGGTTCATAAAAAGTAGAGATCAAATACCACATTTGAAATGTAATCAAGTAAATGAAGAAAAACTGGATTTGTTCTTTTGAAAGAAAAAACCAGTAGTCTTACTCCTACCTCAGGTTTGGGTAAAATTGATGTAATAGATTGATAACAAGTGTAGAGCATGGGAAAATGACATGGAAACATAAAGAAAAAATAATAATGTTATTGTAATGGCAAAGGAAGTTAGGAAGCATTTTCTTTTTTTAAAGATTCTGAAATTTTATTTATTTATTTATTTATTTATTTATTTATTTATTTATTAATGTATAAAGGTGCTTTATCGGCATGTATGCTGGCAGACCAGCAGATGGCATCAGATTGTAAGTTAGGAAGCATTTTCTTTTTTTAAAGATTTTGAAAATTTATTTATTTATTTATTTATTTATTTATTTATTTATTTATTTACTAATGTATAGAGGTGCTTTATCTGCATGTATGCTCGCAGACCAGAAGAGGGCATCAGATTGTAAGTTAGGAAGCATTTTCTTGTTTTAAAGATTTTGAAAATTTATTTATTTATTTATTTATTTACTAATGTATAGAGGTGCTTTATCTGCATATATGCTGGCAGACCAGAAGAGGGCATCAGATTGTGTGCGCCCATGTGGATGCTGGGAATTGAACTCGGTAACTCTGCAAGAGCAGCCAGTGCTCTTAACCACTGACCACTCTCCAACCCCACATTTTTAAGCTAAAAACTTTAAAAATATTTTTTGTTTGCAACATGGAATTAATTTCCTTTCCATATCTCCAAAAGCACCATTGAAACTATAGCAAAGTTTTACCTGAAAACCTTTCTCATGTTACATCTTCCTTCACTTAGATTAACAATGTCTTTGAGGATTTCAGATTTTATTTTAAATGTTGGCCAGCCAGTCCCTTGTGGTCCTGATCAATGCCCATTTTCCACTTAAAGAAATTCAATACATTCTATCTACCTTTCCCAGAAGCCCTTCCAATGAAACTCAAACTGAGCCATCCTTCCTTCCCTATTGACCAGCGATGCCACCTAATGTCACTGCAGTCTCCATTGCTGAAATGATCTATTATCTTTTAATTAGGAAATTTTGCCTCCAAATCTCAGACTATGTTAGTTAAGTGTTCAATAGAAATTCAATAAAGCCAGTTGAAATGTCTTTTATTAAAAAAAAAAAAGTCACAAATAGACCACTACGTCTCAATTCAACCCTGCCAGTCAGGCTAACCAAAGCTAATACACAGACCTCTCACATGTGTACCATGCTCCTAGGCATAGACTGAGCTACAAAGTCCAAAAATATTTATGGAGCCAACGGGGTAGTTAGTCTATGTGCATGCAGCAAGAATTTTGCTAGACATGACTTATCCTTGTGCCAAAACACTGTGACCTCTGTGTACTATCATGGACAACTAGGTCTTAAAGAGATAATATATGTAAACACAGAGAAGATAAACATAATTCAAGGAAACACTGAACTTTATAAAACAGACCAATAACCACTAGCTCTTCTACATTTTATACCAACTGGTCCACTCTTTATTCCCATTTTATTGATGAGAACACTGCTTAAAGGAAAGTTGAAGAACTTGTCCACACATCACAGTTAGTGGTTATACTAGTTACTTTCCTTGATACTGTAATCAAACGCCTGATAAGAGCAACCTTAGGGAGGAAGGATCAGTCTGGTTAATAGTTTAATAATGAATACAGTCACTGGACTCAATGATTTTAAAAAAAGACACAAAGTTGGAAGAGTTGTGTCTTTGGAGACTACGGAAGAGTTGGATGGGGAGGGTGTGGATATGATCTAAATATGAAAATCTCAAAGAATACATTGAAAACGTTATAATTTCTATTAAAAAAAAAAGGGATATTGTCTGTGGGGCATACATGAGCTCCAAAGATGGTGCTTAGAGGAAGTTAGCTCAGGTTGTTTAAGCTGAGACAAGATACAAAGATCAGGAGATGATGTCAGTGCAAAAGCAACTTGTAAACAAGGAAATGAGTATAGGGTAACCTTTAAAACGATTGGTTGGTTCCTTCCACCCACTCCTAGGGTTCTGAGGTTTTTTGCTATAAAAGAGGCTTGCTGCCTAACAATAAATGAGTTCTTGCTTTGTCCGCTTCATCTGATTGTCTCCGGTAAGAGGAAGGCTGAGGAACGGGAGAGCGGCACACTTACCTTTCCTCAGTTCCAGGCCACCTCTTCAGAGATGACCTAAGTTCCTGGCAGGGCAAGACCCCATGCCTGGCCTTTATTATTGGACATGAAAGTACATTCGGCAGAGGCCAGGTGGTCTTCCAAGGTAAGTGAACCCCTCAGCATGGGTAATTCAACTTCCTCAAGTGATAAGCCAGCCCCCAAGGCTCTGCGTTATATGCTTAAGTCTAGAGGGCTTGCTGGGTGGTGGTAGCATACGCCTTTAATCCCAGCACTTGGGAGGCAGAGCCAGGCAAATGTCTGTGAGTTCGAGGCCAGCCTGGCCTATAGAGCAAGATCCAGGGCAGGTACCATAGTGCCACCCCCTGGGCTTCTACCCTACTATCACAGCCCTTAAGGTGGCTTTTCACCTGGATTCTCTGCCACCCCTTCTCAGGAGTCAAAGAGGGAGAATGATTCTCCCCAAGGGTTAGAAAAGGAAAAAATAAAAACAGGGGGCCCTGGGCGGGGGGTAAAAAGGACGGGGGAGATTCTGAGAGTAAAGAAAAAAATAATTGGGCCAAATTCAGTGAGGAGCATGAGAGATGCGCAGAGAAATATACAGTAGAGGTTAAAGCAAAAGTAAAAGTCACTGCGCCCGAGCCCTGCACCCCAAGGGATTCTGGCCCTCGGCCTTGCAACCCTGGGGGCAGCATATGAGAGGGCATTCTGGGCTCCCAGGATTTCTGTCCAAGGGAAACCACCGAGCTGATGAGCTGGCATCAGGATTTAGGATATTGACCTTAAAAGATAGTCCATGCCAGCCTGTCAGCCTTTCCTAAAGGTACCCCCTTTACAAATGCAGAGAGTTAACCCCAGAGGCCTAGAGCCAAATATCCTCTGACAAATAGATATTGAACTTAAATATATTTTTGTTTCAATAGAATAAAAGGGGGAACTAGACCCCATATTCAGTTGCTCTGCACCCCGCAGCCATCACGCTCTGGTCTCGGGGCTACAAGGACACCTGCATCAGGGCCTTCTGCTCCCCAGCCACTCCTTCGTGCCCCTTGTGGGGTAAGAGCTCCTGGAGTGACAGTCCCTATAGAATCGATGACAGAATACAGGCTTGTGGTTGTGGGTACTGGAGGCGTGGGAAAGAGTGCCCTGACCATCCAGCTGATCCAGAACTATTTTGTGGATGAGTATGTTCCCACCATAGAGGACTTCTATCGGAAACAGGTGGTCATTGATGGGGAGGCATGTCTGCTGGACATCTTAGACACAGCAGGTTGGGAGGAATGTGCTACCCTGCGGGACCAATGCATGCACACAGGGGAGGGTTTCCTCTGTGTGTTTGCCATCAACAACACCAAGTCCTTTGAAGACATCCATCAGTACAGAGAGCAGATCAAGCGAATAAAGGACTCAGATGATGTGCCAATGGTGCTGGTGGGGAACAAGTGTGACCTGGATGCTCATACTGTTGAGTCTCAGCAGGCCCAGGACCTTGCCCACAGCTATGGCATCCCCTACATTGAAACATCAGCCAAGACCCGGCAGGGTGTGGAGGAGGCCTTCTACACACTCGTCCGTGAGATTCGGCAGCACAAACTGCAGAAGCTGAACCCTCCCAATGAGAGTAACCCTGACTGCGCTAACTGCAAGTGTGTGCTGTCCTGACTCCAGCTGATGGTCGTCCAGCTCTTCCTGGCTCCACCTGCGTCTCAGAGGGACCCACACCAGCCTCAGCAGGTGACCTGGGCAGTGATCAATGCTGGCAATGGACCTGGCCAGAGGATCCTGGGACATTGGGGATTGGACTCCCCTTTCATAAAGGACCTCAGTTCTCCCAAGTCCTCTAAGCCTGGCACCCATAGTGGGGACACAGTGGACTCCATGGATGGCCCTCTCTCCCCAGAGATCTCATCCTCATACCCACCACTGCCCCCACGTCCTTTGGCCTCCCCCTCTTCCTTGCAGCAGCCTCTGACACCTGCCCCAGGAGAGCTCTACTACCTGCCTCCAGCATCTGCTTCCCAGGGCCCCAAGGCAAGTTCCTCAATGTCCTCGGAGCCTGGGGACAATGATGACTATATGGAGATGGCCTTTGGTGTGGCCACACCCCACCTCTGAGACCCACCCACTCTTCCACTGCAGCCTTCGCATGCACAGCTGATGGCGAAAGTGACTTCTGGCACCCTGGGGCTGGGGCTAAAGCTGTCTTGGCTGCTGCCACTGCTGGGCAAAGCCCTGCTAGACCTCTGCTTCTCAAGGGATGCTTACTGAGAGATGCTGTATGTGGACCAGCCAGCTGGCACACCTCTGCTCTATGTCCACGCTCTACAGGATGCCCCTGAAGAAGTCCCCAGCTTTCGCCTGGGCCAGCATCTCTCTAGCACCTTTCACACATGGCTGCATGAGAATGATTGGATCTGCGTCCATGAGGACACTGGCCTCTACTTCAACCAGAGCCTAGACCACAGTTCCTGGGAACAGATCAGCATTCACAATGGTGGCTTCCCCTTACTCACCATCTTCCTTCAGGTCTTCCTGGGGTCCACAACCCAGCGGGAGGACAGATGTCATTGGTGAGGCTGTGCCTGTATGTGCTTCTCCTTCATCAATGACTCCTTCCCAGCATGCAGCTCCCTCAAATCCCAGGACCTCTGGGCTCTTGAAAGGTGAGAGTCTGCCTTTCCATTGCAACCCAGACAGCTTGGAGGTGAGCACTCACTGGGCCCCTGACCAGGAGCTTCAGGAGAAGTGTGTGCTGGAGACCGAGTGCATAATGGTGCATAATGGACACTGGTTCCAGCGAAGAGAAGGTCACTGTGTCCTTCCCGGTGACCATGTATGATGAGGACAACTCAGCGCCCACCTTCTCCGGAGGTGTGGGGCTGACGATTCTCCATGGGACTGGACTCAAAGATGGATTGATTCTAGTAATTTCTAAATGTGACTGGAACAGCCTCCTTTTGGAAATCATCAACTGTCTTTGGGGGTAGGGGTAGGGAAGGATAACCCTCTCTTTGTTCCTTTAATGGGTTTCTTAACTCTTCTCTCTGTAGATGTTCATGTCAGTACTTCAGATAGTAAAAGCCTTTTCTCCTGCCCACAACATTAGTAAAAAGAGACTTTTTAGAGAAATCCCCTAAAACTTGGGTTTGCTTTGTAACTAAATCCCCCAGGAACAGTAGCGCTGATCTGCTAACTGCTTTTCTGTGTTCTCAATAAATGTTGGGCTTGACTTAAAAGGGGGGGGGGTGCCAAACAGGTAAATTTCATAAAGAAGTGCCCTGAGCCTGAACCTTAAAGTAAGGTAGGCTTGTTTAAAAACAAAAAGGGGGAATCTGTGGGGCGTACATGAGCTACAAAGATGGTGCTGAGAGGAAGTTAGCCTAAGTTGTTCAGCAGAGATTAGATACAAATGGTGCTGAGAGGAAGTTAGCCTAAGTTGTTTACACAGAGATTAGATACAAATGGTGCTGAGAGGAAGTTAGCCTAAGTTGTTCAGCAGAGATTAGATACAAATGGTGCTGAGAGGAAGTTAGCCTACGTTGTTCAGCAGAAATTAGATATAAATGGTGCTGAGAGGAAGTTAGCCTAAGTTGTTCAGCAGAGATTAGATACAAATGGTGCTGAGAGGAAGTTAGCCTAAGTTGTTCAGCAGAGATTAGATTAGATACAAATGGTGCCGAGAGGAAGTTAGCTCAAGTTGTTTAAGCTGAGATAAGATACAAAGATCAGGAGATGATGTCAGTGCAAAAACAACTTGTAAACAAGGAAATGAGTATAGGGTAACCTTTAAAACGATTGGTTGGTTCCTTCACCCCCTCCTAGGGTTCTGAGTTTTTTTTGCTATAAAAGATGCTTACTGCCTAACAATGAACGAGTTCTTGCTTGACTTGACTCCTCGTTTAAAAGATGCTTACTGCCTAACAATAAATGTGTTCTTGCTTGACTTGACTCCTCGCTGTGTCTGATTGACTCTGGGTAAAAGGAAGGCTGTGAAATGGATGAGCGGCACACTTACCTTTCCTTGGTTCCAGGCCACCTCTTTAGAGGTGACCTAAGTTCCCAGTGGGGCAAGACCCCACAACTGTCCATCTTGATAGGGAAGGCACCACTGCAGAACCATGAGGAGGGTGGTCACATTGTGTCTACAGTCTGGAACAGAAAATACACAGGATGTAGGGCAGATTATAAAACCTTAAGTCATGCCCCTATTGCCCGACTCCTTCCAGCAAAGCTCCACCTCCTAAAGATTCTACAGCTTTCATGACAATTCCTGGAAACGAAGAGTTAAAACCTACAAGCTCATAAAGCATTCCATATTTAATCCACAATAGTGGCTGAGCTAGGATTTGACAAAACTCCTTAAACCAAGATTTTTAACTTGGCATTCTTGCCTCTTAAGTATAGCTGTCCTCTTTCTTCATTTTTTAACTTTAAAGGACACCAAAAGACTGTCTCCTACTGGTTGAAAGAACAGAAGGGATTGTTTGCAACATATATGGCTTGGGTCCAAAATTATCTTAATTTTTGGTCTGTAATTTTATTCAAATATAAGAACTCTTTGGATGAAATGCATTTGCAATTTCAAAGTTTGCATCTAAGACTAGGAAGATGCCTTGGTGGGTAAACATGTACTTTATATAAATACGAGGAAGTGAGTTAGAATCCCTAGTGCCAATGTCAAAAGCCATTCATGACCATAAATGTCTGTCATCTCAACACTGGCTGGAGAGGGGTGGGGACAAGATTGATGAAGCTTGCTGACCAGTTAATCTAACCAGAATATAGTGAGTCCCAAGTTCAGTAAGAGACCCTGTCTCAAGGGAATAAGATGGAGAGTGATAAAGCAGGGCATCCAGTACCCACCTCTAATTTCCAAATGTTGTGCATGCATGGACAAATGTGAGCACACACACATAAACACACACAAGTGTGCACATACACATTTTAAGTTTTCTTCTGTTCTCACACAGTGTTTGGTTGCAGCTTCTCCATTTTGAATGTGGCTTTTATACACATATTTGGTGTCTTAGTTAGGGTTTCTATTGTTGTGAAGAGATACCTTGACCATGTCAACTCTTATAAAGGAAAGCATTTATTTGGGGCTGGCTTTTAAAATTATCTTCAGGAAGATTCTTAGAACATGACAAAAGGCAGATGCTTTCTTTGCCAGAATATCAGAATAATGGACCTGGTTGCTAATATTGTTACCCACTGAAACCCCTTGAGATGGGCCTTCCTAGGCCTCATTGCTCTCAGCACTTCTGTCTTGCAAGCTCCCACTAGGATGACCCACTAAACCATGCTTAGAGTGCTCAACCTCTTTCCTAATCCAAAGTCCCCAAGTCTTGCATGTTCCTCCCCAAAACAGCATGGTCAGGCCTGTCACAAGCAATAGCCCACTCCCTGTTAGCAACTTCTGTTTTAGTTGCTTTTCTATTGCTGTGAAGAGACACCATGAGCAACTCACAGAATGAAAAGTTGCTTTAGGACTTACTGTCTCAGAGGATTGAAGTCCATGACTACCACAGCAAGGAGCATGGCAGCAGGCAGGCAGGCATGGCACCAAAGTAGTAGCTGAGAGCTCACTTCTCCACTCACAAGTGGATGGCAGAGAGTTAACTGGGAGTAGCATGGGCTTTTAAACCTCAAATGTTACCCCCAGTGACAACCTCCTCCAGCAAGAACACACTTCCTAATCCTTCCCAAACAGTTCCACCAATTGGGGACCAGGTATTCAAATACATGAGCCTATGGGGGCCCTTTTTTTCAACATAACATTTTTATTGATTCTCTGAGAATTTCACATCATGCAGCCCAATCACACTCACTTGCTAGTTCTTCCATGTCATCCCCCACCCTTATGACTTCCCCCTCCCAAAAATGTAAAAATAAAAATAAGAATTAAAAATAACAAGAAAAACTACCACAGTGATGAATAAAGGTATTCTGAGGAATGATATGGAAGGGCTAGCCAAGATGGCAGACTGGTTAGAAGATACCCTTTTGGGGTGTCAAACCCAAAGAAACTACAGAATTTGACAAAACACATTCATTCCATAATTACCTCACTAGTAATAAAAGAGATCAACTAGTGGGAGAAAAGCAACACAGATGAGAAAAGATTAAAACAAAGCTTCATGAGTCAGTGTGCATTTGAGGAGTGGAAGGCCAGCTAAAGAAAACGGGAAGAAACCATGTTCAGTAAAGGACAGGATAGAAGACAGAGACTCACTGTGTCTTGTACGTCAACTCTCTCCAGTTCTTGGGAACATTCCTTTGTATCAAGTCTGATTGTTGCTCCCAGTGTTCATAAGATACTCTCAGAGCAGTTGAAAAGCCTCCAAGACCCAAGGAATTCATACAAATATTCACTGAGCAGCTACCCAGGACATTCATGCTTCTTCTTCTCAGCTCCCAGGGAACTGGTAGGCTTTAAGCCATGACGGTTTTCCCCATCCTAGTCTCTTCCTTCACGAAGTTTCCTAAGTGTTCATACTGAAGCTGTCCGGTAGAATGTCAGTGGAAGGGAAGACCCAGTGTCCTTGCATGGCAACTGCATCTTCGCCCTTTGACTCACCTCCTTTATTTGTCTTAAGTTACCAGAACTCAAAAAGTTAAACTCTGGCCCTCAGTCATTCCCCCATAGATGTTAGAGATTCCCA